CCCCAAAACCCCAAAACCCCAAAACCCCAAAACCTCCAATCTTGAATGTGATGAAATTTAAAGGTTAAAAATTTATGATTATTATAAATTTGGGTGCAAAAATATAAAAATGATAATGAATAATCCATTGACGCGATAAATGCCAATGAGTTCTTACTTCGCTTCTGGCTTTATGTACATTGAGACAGATAAGAACGTCTACTATCCAGGACAGACAATGAACATTTCAATACAGCTAAGTTTGACTAAGGAGCTAGACAGTGTAGATCGCATTATCATATCGATTAAGGGGAAGGAAAGCTTTAAATTCAATTCTAATAACAAAAACCTAAAGTCTTTGAGCAACAAAAGACAGATTGTGAATGAGACATTCACCCTATGCAATTTCGCTCCTTCATTCCTTCCCGCCTAGGATTACACATTTGTGTTTAAGTACTAGATTCCAGATACATTGGTCAATCAGTGGCCTGCCAGTTTTCATATGAAAAGAGATGCTATCAACAGAGGTGAAGTCAAATTTCATACAAGATATCGCATTACAGCTAAATTGATGAAAGTAGGATAGACAGTGGTCACAAAGAATACAAAGAGATTTTTCATAGCTAAAAAACCCTTTAATCCTAGGCAGAATTTCATCGAGGTTACTCAGCAACAGGTATATAGATTTACAAAACTGTGCTCGGCTGGAATAAATGTGGCTAAGGTCAGATTCGAAAGGAATTTCTACCTTGCTGACGAATAAATAAAAGCTAGATGCAGCATTGACAACACTAGATCCTCTGCTAAATGCACAAACATAGTTATTAGACTTATTAGAACTATTAAGGCTTATGGATACTTATAAAACAGACCAGCAAATCAGCAAAACCTGCTGTACCCTTTTGAAGAAAATTTAGTTGTTGCTTCACAGGAATTCGAAGGAATAGATGCTGGCAAGAAGTAAGAAGATTTTTCCAAAGAGGTCTCCTTATTCCTGGATGCAGTAGATCAGAAGTTTAAGCAGTCTAGGAAGAAGGGCCCAAATGATTAATAAAGAGTACATAATGTTGAGGATCTAGCTTTTGCAAATAAGGGGATCTAGCCATCTACTGTAGGCTAGGTATTCAGTTGTCTCTATACAGTGGTAATAAACAGAACTATAAGAGGTTTGGCTAACTACCCCACAGGAGTGAGCGTGCTGATCAACATTAATCCTAGTTTGGAGTAAGTGAATGGGTTTGAGAAGGTTGAGATGCCCTAGAATTGGAATCCTAAATACGTAGATCTAAGGAATATCTAATTTATAGTCTAGAACAACCTTCCGACTGTTAATAACAATAACATCAATGCAAATAATGCTAACAACAACGCCAATCTTCCTAGGAATGGGCACATAGTTAAGATAAGTTAAATGCCCAGTCAATTTAGTGACAATGATCAGCGAAGTTTGTTCAAGAAACAAGGCTAGCTTCCTAGTCAAGATATTATAGATAAACTTAATAAAGCTTCTGAAGCCATAGATAAGTTTAATAGCTAGAGCTAAAATTTGAGAAGAGATACCTCCTAGAGTAATTAAGGAATGAATGAGAATCACAAACCGTCTTAAGAAAACTCAGATGATGAATACGACACAGTCCAGTAAAATCTTTTAGAAGGATTCCAGTGAAGGTGAGTTAATCATGTGTGCTTCTTATATTGAACCAGCATTTCATCGAATTATCATAAATCCAATCTAATATCAGTCTGATTATTTTATTCCAATTTTTATCCTCAACATTATTTAATTTATTTTGAGTAAAGGGGTTTTGGGGTTTTGGGGTTTTGGGGTTTTGGGG